CAATCCTCAACAGCATTAAGGGGCAGGGAAGAGCTTGAGAAATATTGAAGAAACGATATATGGCCCAGATGCAACGGAAGGACTCAGCACTTGAAAGCAATACAGGATTACAGATAAGATCTGTCCTTTTCGTTGTTTACTCAGCACAGGTCATGCAATAAATCCTCCAAATGGAACCTAGTGGAAACAAATGAGGTTATTTCCCACCCACTGCACTTTTCCCCAGATGCAATCCTTTGAGGGGGGGGGTAGAGCACACACACCCTATACATGTTCAAAGGCTGGAGGAGAAAGGAGTTTTTTTTTATGTACTCCCAGATCCTTGCCTGGGAAAGTTTCTGACACTCACTTAGTCTTTGCACTCGGCTGATTTTGGAATGAGCACTGGAAAAATGACAGAAGATAAAATGCTGTCCAATGATTTATCACTCTCTTATCCTCATGGTCAAGCAAGCCCTGAGCTGTTCTTTCCAGGCTGTCACTTCTGGAATGGCAGGAATTCAGCCCCAAAGAACATGGCCATTGCACCCAAGGGATTCCACGATAAGGCACGCAGGATCCAAGGAGAGAAAGAGCCCCTCATTTGGCTGCAGCAGAGGTCAATGGGGGGGAGGAAGGCAGGAAGACACTTGCAACAGATGTGGTGACTGTCTGCATCTCTTTAGAGGGCACATTCGCAATTGCAGGTCACCAGATGTTATTGGCAAAACCAGACTATACGTAGGCTAACAGAAACAAATGCTCCACACCTCTCAGTAGCAGTTGCTACACTCCCTCTGTTTTGATTGAATTATTAAAGCTGCAGTTGTTTGTAGAATCATGGAGTAAAATAGCCTGAGATCAGGCTATTAGAGCCTTTCAAGTTGCAAGATTGAAAGTGTGCTTATTGACAAGGACTGCTGTGCTGCTCTTTTATCATGTTGTGCAGTTGCTTTCTATGCCATCCTGCCTGGATCAGTTTGTAAATGTACACCACCACCACCACCACCACCATCATCATCGGCATCCTTCAGTCTCGAGAGACCATGATGCTCTGAATCGAGGAGTGTCCTCTCCAGAGCATGAAGCCTGAGTAAAGTAATATATAGAGGATAGGCTGTTACCCAAGCAACAGATCCCCCCTCTCCACATTGCTGAAATGGTCCAATGGAAAGGCAAGAACCAATACAACTGGTTCCAGCAACATCGCAGGAGTTGGCAGAATGACACGAACTGCATAGGACTCAGGTTTCTGGAATCACTCCAGGGCCCCAACCACATTACTTTGGCTTTGGTTTTCAGATGACAACTCCCCCAAACCCTGAACTCCTGGGCAAACTGGTTGGGGACAATGGGAATTTCAGTCCAACAACCTCTAGGACAGTATTTCCCAACTCAGGGGTTGTGACTTCCAAGGGCATCACAAAGTGTTTTCTGGGGTGGGGGTTGTGGGTTGCCTTACATGTACTGTAGCCCTTGTTAAATAATTTCTTCCTTGTCCTTTCAGAATGGAATATTAGTGTGCATGTGTACGTAGGAGAAACAGACCCTTTGCAGGAGAAAGAAGCCTCTACTTTCTGAGAAAGGATGACCACTTACCCTATTAAAAATGTCTTTTTATGCAAATGGGGTGAGGTGTGTGTTGCAGGTTACTTGACTATTATAAAAGTAGGGCACAACTTGGAAAATGTTGGGAACCACTGCTGTAGGAGACCCAAGGTCAGGGACACTTGCTTAGAGCAGTACTATTAGCCAAAAATCTGCACTATGAAAAAGCTAAAAATATGTCAAAAGGAATAAATGGATAAAAAAACAAAAAAACAATAAAAACAACAGTTTCTTGTGAACTCAAAGCATACTGAATTGAATAGTATCCTTGTTTTTTGGTGATAGATACTTCCAAGCATAGAAAAGTTACCTTTTTGGATTACAGCATTATCCAACCTACATATCTATATTAACTGGGAAATCGAGAAAGCTATAGCTCACAAATGTAGTTTTTCAAAGCTCTTGTTCCTTGTTTTTTTTAAAAAATATATATATTATTTTTGCAAAACAAATACAACACAAAATACTTACTGACAATCTAAAACACAGTGCACCCCCATACCCACAGGATCCTTTGGAGCAATTCTTTTATTACAAACCTCCTTTCCAAAATTGTATTGATTGTTGCTTAGAGGCTTTCCCCTGTCCTTTCAGTAATACAAATTCAATAAAACTAACCCAAATAGCATATAAAATATTTAAACTTATTTCTCCTCTTTTCATCTTAAGTTCGGTAGTCAATTTGTCATTTAACACAATGTCCCATACTTTGTTATATCAATCTTCTAATTTAATATCATGTTTGTCTTTCCGGTATCTAGCTATTAATATTCTAGCACTTGTCATAAAATTAGAAATCAATTCCTTTGAGCAATAATCAAGTTCTATCTTATCAAAAATTGACAACAAAGCAATTTTAGAGTTAAATTCAATATCTTTTCCAAATATATCACTTATTTCCTTAAAACTCAATTTCCAAAATTTCTGAATCAATTTACACTCCCACCACATATGATAATACATGCCAATTTCTTCATCACATTTCCAACAGGCCTTAGAATAGTCTGAATTCATTATGATCAATTTTATCGGAGTTATGTACGACCTTAAATTAATTTTTTTAAATTATCTTTTATTCTTACCGACATTTATCTTAAAACTCTCATCTTCCAAATTTTTGTCCAATCTTCTGTTCTGATTTCTGTCTTTAAATCGTGTTCCCTAATTGATTTCAATCCTTCTATTTCAATCTTATTTTCCTCCTGATCCAAAATTAGGTTATAAATTCTTACTACTCCCTTCCTCAAAGCATCCTTCTGGGTGTCTTCATGTGATGATAGAAATTGTTCATACTTAGTACATTCTCTACATTTGCCATTAGTCCTCAACCATTCATTAGTCCGTCTGTCTAATTGGATAACATTATACCATGATAATTTATTAGTTTGATGTTTAGCTATAATCTGATCCCTCAATCTCATTTTAATCATCCGATCCTTCAATCTGGCAACTTTTTTATTCTTAAATAAATCAACAAAGCCTTCAGGTTTGCTGGGAAATTTTCTATTTCAGTCACTAATTTTAGTGGTGAAGTAAAGAGACAAAAATTGGGAAAGGAGTACAACAAGGCTGTATATTGTCTCTTATTTAACTTATATGCAGAATACATCATGTGAAAGGCAGGACTGGAGGAATGCCAAGCCGGAATTAAGACTGCCGGAAGAAATATCAACAACCTCCGATATGCAGACAATACCACTCTGATGGCATAAAGTGAGGAGGAATTAAAGAACCTTTTAATGAAGATGAAAGAGGAGAGCACAAAAATGGTCTGAACTTCAACATCAAAAAAACTAAGATCACGGCAGATGGTCTCAGCAGCCACAAAATTAAAAGACGCCTGCTTCTTGGGAAGAAAGCAATGACAAACCTAACATATTAAAAAGCAGAGACATCACCTTGCCGACAAAAGTCCCCATAGTCAAAGTTATGGTTTTTCCAGTAGCGATGTATGGAAGTGAGAGTTGGAAATTGTGCAAGTCATTATGACAAAGGAAGTGAACAGCAACCTCAACAACCTCAGATATGCAGATGATACCACTCTGATGGTAGAAAGTGAGGAGGAATTAAAGAACCTCTTAATGGGGTGAAAGAAGAGAGCACAAAAAATGGTCTGAAGCTCAACATCAAAAAAACTAAGATCATGGCCACTGGTCCCATCACCTCCTGGCAAATAGAAGAAGAAGACATGGAGGCAGTGACAGAGTTTACCTTCTTGGGCTCCATGATCACTACAGATGGTGACAGCAGCTACGAAATTAAAAGACGCCTGCTTCTTGGGAGGAAAGCTATAACAAACCTCGATAGCATCTTAAAAAGCAGACATCACCTTGCCAACAAAAGTCCGCATAGTCAAAGCTATGTTTTTTCCAGTAGTGATTTATGGAAGTGAGAGCTGGACCATAAAGAAGGCTGACTGCCGAAGAATTGATGCTTTTGAATTGTGGTGCTGGAGGAGACTCTTGAGAGTCCCCTGGACTGCAAGGAGAACAAACCTATCCATTTTGAATGAAAGCGACCCTGAGTGCTCACTGGAAGGACAGATCCTGAAGCTGATGCTTCAGTACTTTGGCATCTCATGAGAAGAGAAGACTCCCTGGAAAAGACCCTGATGTTGGGAAAATGTGAAAGCAAGAGGAGAAGGGGACGATAGAGGACGAGATGGTTGGACAGTGTTATCGAAGCGACCAACATGAATTTGTCCAAACTCTGGGAGGCAGTGGAAGTGGTGTGCTCTGGTCCATGGGGTCATGAAGAGTTGGATACGACTTAATAACTAAACAACAACAAAGGGACAATATGTCTTTTTGTATCTGTTCCTAGACATTTAACAGGTTTCTTTAAAAGGGTTGTTCACCTGATTTATTATATTTCTTTTTACTACATTAAACAGATATGTTCTTGTTCCTTGTATCATATGCTTTCTCAGGGTATGCCCCAGGTCTGGGGCAAGTGGAACAACCATGTGTTCAACCTTGCAGGAGAAAGTAAAATTGATAGAATTCCCAATCCTTTACTTGAACATATGTGACTATTTCTTTTTTTTCCTCTTAGTTTTTAATTTGTCTATTTGCTTACCTTATATCATTTATTGTATCATCATAGAAGGTTGGAGTCGACCAAGTAGCTCTGGTAGTTCATAGGACAGGTCACGCCCATGTGCTTGGTTGCTTGCAAGCTCAGGTCTGAACCTTCCCCTTAAGTGCATTACGATGTTTGGGTTTTCCTGTGCCCAGAGTAACATGGGCAGTAGTTTTCTTTGGTTACTTAAGAATAAGACACTTCTGAGACTGCAGGGGTGTGTGTAGGTGCCCAATATTTAATTACAGCTCCTGGAGTAAGACACTTGATGCCCTCAAGCCAAGAGAATGGCTTCTTATAGTTCACAACACAGACAAGGGAAAGAAACTTACCAGCGCTGACGGTGATGGCTTCAATGAATTGTTCTCTCCAGCTGTTGGTCCCGACCACAAGCGCAAGGTTTGTCTTTTTAATGAGCTTGTCCACCGTGTTCTGCAGACGGACAGACAAGTGTTAAAATCCTAAGCACACCATCAGTTTAGAAGAGAGAGAAAAAAATATTATTTTGTTGAATTACAACTTATTTTCTGGATGTCAACCAACCAGGCTGGTTGTGGGGCTCTGGGGGTCCAAAACAATTATTTCCTCCCAGGCCTTTGGTTCAGAGGCTTTGGTTCATGGATGGAAATGCAAAGCTACCTACTAATTTGTCTGCTACAGAACATTAATGCTAATCCCAAAACATGGCTGCAAAACGGGGCACGGATGAAAAATCCACTATTTTTCTCCAAACTGAGTTGAAATATATGACCAAAGGATTTGTTACCCTAAAAAGATATTAGCCTCTGCCAGCAGGGTGCCTCTGTGTGATACTCATGGAGAAAGACGTTTTATTTTCTTCTTTTTTCAGGAAAACATGCTGGGCAGAGGGATGGAGCAATTCATTCCTCTCTACCAGCCTACTGTCTTCAAACATGGATTTCCTGATCCTACGACTACTAGGTGGCAACTGCAAGGCTATGTTACTATATTACTATCATAATGTGTCCGGTTTTGGATCTTCATTTTGTATTGAAAAGTCCTATACTCAAGAAGTTTTACTGCTCAGTTCTAGGCAAAGGGATATCCTCTGGGGAAGTTATATTTGTAAAATACAACTCCAAAATCCCTCAGTGGCCGTCCCAGCTGGGGAATCCTGGGAGCTGTGATCCAAAAAAGTAACTTGTACGAATTCTCGAAGAGAGCAGCAGTTCCTGATATTTTGTCAGAAACTCTTGAAAAATGAATATAGTTGTACAAATGTGCCAACACGTCAGAGTACTTCTTTTTATAGACTTTCTTTGTTGTAAGTCAAAGTCTGTCTGCATCGTGTATTGATCTTCTCTGTTTGTATTGAATCTGGAAGCCCCTCACAAAGCAGAATGGCATGATACTTTGTTTTCCCAACATCCACCTAAGGAAAATGGGGCAAAATCAATAAGAAACACACATTAAAGCTCCTAGCTTCCCCTCCCCCTTGACAAATGGTATGTAGGTGATTGTAGAGGTGGGGTGGTAACCAGCAGAGCCTGGAATGTTCTCTTTAAAAAAGAAACTAGTTGCATTACTCATCACTTCCCAGCAGCCAGGTTGTCATTATTATCAAAACAGTTACAAATCCAAGAACCAAAGTAACTTTTTCACTGATTTCCTTAAGGCATCTTCAGAGAATGCAAATGAGGAAAAAGTGTTGTTTAGAGAATATGCACGATATAGTATAAACCAAGCTATATTTAAGCTGGGCTAAAACAGTCAGCATGGCATTGTGGCTAGCGAGCTAAACTTGGGTTTGAGGAAACATGGATTCAAATCCCCCTTGCCAGCTGGATGAACTGGGCCAGTCTCTAACCAAACTCACAGGGTGGTCACGAAGATGGGGAAACTGATGGGGAAGATGAACTTTTATGCTGTGTTAAATGTTGTACAATTTGACAGACAAACTGTGGGCCTGTCCACACTGACATATAAATATAATATATGGATAGCTGAGAGTCTGGTTTGGCTCAAAAAAAAAAGTCTATGTCTGCTTGAGTTTCTACTGAAAATGAGCCAATTCTCCCCTTTAAGAGCTGGTGATCTCATTTCTGGTCCAGCAGTATTTGATGCATTATTGTTGGCATGTGCCTCCCTGCTCCGTTGCTGGCTCCAGGCACCTCAGCCATTGCCACTGTCGTTGAGGGGCTAGCCTTCTGCAGAGGCAACTGCCTGCTGGAGACAGGCACTGTGGATTAATGTGCTGCAAGTGGATGAGAGATTGAGCAAATACCAGTGACATTGGGGTGGCAACAGCAAGGGACTGCCCCCTCTGCCTTTCTCCTTCGCTCTCTGCACAATGCCTTCCTGCTCCCCACCCCCTTTCTTTTCCTCCATTTCTCTTTCCTCCTTTCTTTCCAAATACCTCCTTTCTTTTAAATTCCTCCTCCTGTCTGTCTGTCCTCTTTCTCTCCTGACAGTTTCACCTACTGCTGTTTCTGCACTCTTTGCCCTCTTCTGTCTCCTCTACTTCCATCCACTTCACTCCTGTCAAATTCCATTTCCTTCCCCATCTGCTCTCCCCATCTTGCTTCTTTCTGTCCTAGACCCTTTCGCCCTCCCCATTCTCCTCATCCCCACCTTCTCTTTTCTCTTCCCCTCCTTATTTGCTGTTTGAACAGGCTACAAGGGGTCATTTGCTGTTCAGAGGGGAACAGAATGCCAAATGGTACATCACACCCACATCTATACACCCAACCTCAGCAGAAGCTTTATAGCCCAAACCACCACACACTCAAAATGGTCAGCCTGGACAGGCTCTGTGTCGCCGAAGACTTTCACTTTGTGTCCCAAGAAAGCCTAAAATTCTAAGCAGGACTTGGAAAAGCTACTTTAAAAAAATCCAAGCTCCTAGCATCTTCTAGCCAGTATGAGCAGTGGTTGACTGAGAAAGGAATTCTTATGCACAAGGATCAGCGCATGGATCTGGATTCTTTCACGGGCATCCCCATTCAATGTGTACACCTTGTGGATCAGGCTGGCTTGGGAACATGACATCAGAGGGAAGGGCCAGCAGCACGACCCCCACTACTGCTTCACCATCTGAGAGCCCTACATCTGTGTAACATATGGACAGGGACTGATGTATGTCTTTTAAGCAAATTAGCCAATGAGGCTTTGTGCCTTTTATTTCTCCAATCATGCTCTGTTAACGTTGCAGCCTTGATATGATATGATATGATATGATATGATATGATATTTCTGGATTGGGTGGGATTTGGCTGTTTTCTTTATGTTTATTTTATTACTGCCCAGAGTACTGGCAAGCAAGCAAGCAAACCAACAAATTCTATTAGCTAACAATTCTTTTTTGGGTATGTGTGTATGTGTCAAAATATATGTTGCATTAAATGACAGTGGTGCTTCGCTAGACAGTTACCCCGCATGACAGTTTTTTCGCTAGACATTGACTTTTTGCGATCGCTATAGCGATTCGCAAAAGTGTGATTCCTATGGGGAAATTTCGCTGGACAATGTTTGGTCCCTGCTTCGCAAACCAATTTTCGCTAAACAACGATTTTGACAGCTTATTTATTTTATTTATTTATTTATTTGATTTTTACCCCGCCCCTCTAGACAACGTATACTCTGGGCGGCTTACATAAGTTAAAACACGTTAAAATAGCATATAAAATGCAATTATACAATTAATTCTAAGCAACAGATTTCCAAGAAACTTGTGCTCAAAAGAAGAAGAAAAAGAAAGAGAAAATCACTTAATTGGCTGGGGGGGAGGCCTGTTTAAATAACCAAGTTTTTAATTGGCTTTTGAAAACACCCAGCGAGGGTGCCAGCCGAATTTCAGTTAGGGCTTTATATGTAATCATTAACACTTTGAAGTCGATGCGGAAATGAATAGGTAACCAGTGCAGTGCAGCCAGAGTGGGGGAGATGTGCTGATATTTTCTCACCCCACTAAGAAGCCTGGCTGCTGCATTCTGGACCATCTGAATGCAGCTTATTTTATTGATTGATTGATTGATTGATTGATTGATTGATTGATTGATTGTATTTATACCCCGCCTATCTAGTCATTTCGACCACTCTAGGCGGCCCTCTGTGCTCGCAAAATGAGTGTTTTTGGGACCTAAACTTCGCAAGACAGCTATTTGAACAGCTGATCGGCAGTTCACAAAGCGGTTTTCCTATGGCCAATCTTCGCTAGACAACGACGATTCTTTCCCATTGGAATGCATTAAAAAGGTTTCAATGCATTCCAATGGGGAAATGCTTTTTGCTAGACTATTTCGCTGAACAGCAATTTCAGTGGAACGGATTATCATCATCTAGCGAGGCACCACTGTAATTTAGAATTGGTTTAGCTGCTTCTTGCCAGTCCCCTAGAAATGATAAAAAATACCAGAAAATGTCGGGGCCTGTTCCCAGGGCCAAAGAGGCAGGTCTGTTTGTGTGCATTCCCACAAGCACTAAGTGACAGGACAGGCAAAAGAGGTAAGGAATGTGGTACGTAGCCAATGATTCAGCTTCCTGAGAAACTCTGCTTTCCTTAGAGAAATAATATAAGACATTTTATCTCTGCTTGAAATCTCTGAAGATAAGAAAGGATTATGGGTTAATATGCCTGAACTAGTAATTCCTTGCCTCCCCTTATGACAAGCAGGAGTAGAAAAATTATGCACCGTAAAAAAAGGTAGAATAAGTAGTCACCTTCAGTGTCATCTTTGGGTGAATTCAAAAAATACACAGTACATAAATCATACAAATCTGCCTAATCTGCCCAATTTATACTGAATATACAACAGTCCTTTTGTTAGCATGTTTATTAACTGGCACAGAATTCTTCCTTTATCTAATAATTTGGGCCACTGAGAAACAGCCATGCCAGAACTGATTCTGATTTGGAAACAGGGCTGCAACATTTTAGTAGAAACAATGTGATGTGCCTACATACTATACCTTAAACTCGTAGGACTCTTCAATGATCACTTCTAGCTTTGTATGTTCCCCCAAGATGGGGCGCCCCATTTCTGCAATGCGACGTTCTTCCTCCTCTTTGCTTGTCAGTGGCTGCTTCTCGCTATTCTCTTCTGCAGAAACAGAAAGGAAACACACCAATTTTAAGCTGTAGCCCTCCCCTTTTTTGCAGACAGCTTCTGTCAAACGGAGCCGCCACGATCATCGACTATTTATATTCAAACACTCCCCGTTGCGAAGGTAAAAGCAGGCAGACATCTGTTACAGAAAACGGACAGGCCATTAACCATGAGGGCAAGCGCCTGTGTGGTAAGGCCTAGAACGTGCTGCTGCAGATGGCTTGCCTGGAAGCATTAGCAAATGAGATCACTGGCTTGAAACATCTCCGAATTACAAATGTCTCGCTCTTCTCTTCACTTATCTTGTTAAAAATTCTGCAACTTTGGTGGCATGTTTTCTGCAATTTGTGGAAAAGAAGCAGCATTGTTTTTTAAGACACAGCTTCCATTTTGCACATTAGGAGCGCAAACAGCTAGCTGTCTTCTCCCAGGTCAGCTGATCTAGCTTGGCACTGTTGATATACTGAATGGCAGCAGCTTTCCTGGGTTTCAAGCAAGACTGTTTCTTAAGTCTTGGCATGCCAGCAACTGAAGGACCTATTCTCATGCAAAACATACACTCTACCCATGAGATACAACTGCTCTCTTGCATCACCCAGGGTTCTTCCACCTTCCACCTTTCTTGGGTTCCCTCAGCCCAGAAATGCAGCAAGAATGTGCAAGGTGTGCATACACGATTTCAGTTAAAATGTACACTTCAAAAAAAAAAAGCATGTGAATGTCATAAACAGGTGTCTGATATCATTTATACCGGATCTGGAACCCACCAGAAATGTTGGAGCACAATTCCATATAAAAACAAAACAAAAACATCCACAGTAATAACATCCATTAAAAACAGTAATTACAAATGAAACCAGAAGTTCCCAAATTAAGGTGTCAGTGGAAAGAGATGGATCTCCAAAGCTTTTCTGAAGATCTGCAAGGAAAAGGCTTGACAAAACCCTTGTGGGAGCTCATTTTGGAGGTGGTGATGCCATTGTTGAACAGGACCTCTGTTCAGCATGCTAATTGTACTTGGGGGCAAGAGAGTGAGAAGGGTCTCTCACTTTTTCCATTTACTGTTATGTTTACAACCCATTTCTCCATGCAAGACAGTTATTTCAAGGGTTCTGGTGCTCTCCTTGGGTTGGTTTCCTTCGAGTAAACAACCCCAAATGAAGGGAACGGTAAGTCTTTTCAGAGTACTTTGTACCTACCAAGCCCTGGAAAGAGTCGTCATAAATTGGAATGGACTTGACAGCACATAATAATTACTATAATAATTGTAATTATCTCTGTATGAGTTGCGATATTAATGTGGTTAACATAATCCCACACAAGGCAGTTTTGGGGCAAAACTGTGGGTGGAAACAAAGGTCTGGTCACAGCATGATGGTGGCTTAAAATGCTCCACAGGGGATGCCAACCTTGTGGGGAACTGGTTATCAGAATGCTCCACACATGTGGTTACCTAAGCATTACCATTCTCCCTCATGACTGCGCAACAGTCCAACAAGTCCATCAGCTAATCTGCTCTGACTGTTTCCATATCTTTGTACTGTGTATCCATAAATGTGCTACTTCTCAGTCTTTACCACTCATTTCTCCTTTCTCCCCTAAACGGTGAATCCGAATCTCTGGAAATGAAGGACGATCACCATTCTTCCACATGACTGGCTTCATACTGCGATGATTTTTCAAGGAGGAACTTGTTTCCAGCTATTGGTTAATATGCCTGTGCTAATTTAGCTTAGTACATGATTCTGTAACATGAAATCACCAAGGCTTGAAAGGGCCTCTTAATTGACAGATCTAGATTTAAAAAAGACAGGGATGATGGTGATGATGAGGATAATTACTACTATTATTACTACTGCTGCTACAACTACTACTACTACTACTAGACACATCTCTGCTTTTTTATATATAGCAATCTGTACTGTGGCTCTGAAGAACATCTGCCACATTCTCTGGTTCTCTAGTATTTTGGAAGGAGGAATTCCAAATGAAGGGCACCCCCTCCCTTTAAAAAGAGGACATCTGGCAACTCTATTCATGCTGAAGAATACACAGTTCCTCTTGGTAGGAAGGAATTTAATTTTTTGCTCTGCGCAAAGCCCTTCAATTTTCTTTCCTTTCCTCTCTCATTTCCCTTTTGTTCTTAGAAAGATGTGAATTTGGAAGGTGGTAATGCTACTTGATTGGTATGCTGAAAACAATGGGAAGTAATTTGTTAATTCGAATGCTTCCCAAGACAATGGTGATGGAGGAGAGGATGGGGGGGGGAAGGATCTGATTTCTGCTTTGCTGGAACACATTACTGTAGCAGATATTTTATCTTTGTGGGAGAAACGTGGTAAGGCTGGATAGGGTTGTTAGCTGGAGTTACCAAGATGGGATTCTAGGTGCGGCGCTTCACAGAGGGTAGCAACGCTACTACAGCTGCAGACCATGTGAAGGAGCTATGGGTGGGCAACTGTGCAAGTAGCAGCCAAAGAAAGCACAGATATGTCAAATTTATAGAGAGGCGAAAGCGGAGAACAAAATGGTTGGCACAATTTGACTTGGCCAACCTGGGGCCCTCCAGGTGTGTTTGGACTTTTATCTCCCATTGCACCCAGCCATAAAATCCTGCTGGCTGGAAGACTGAAGGTTGTCATCCAAATGCATCTGGAGGTTAGTAAAGGCTGGCATAGATGAGAAGGCATCACTGCCCTGCAAATTGCAAATGGCAAGGGCTGGGTAGGAAGGTGCCACATAGGATTTTGACAGTAGAAGGCAGGGCCTGCTGCTGCTTTCCTGGGGAAGGAGGGGCTGGACAAAATGTCCCATTAGTAGGGCCCCAATCTGCTTTCAGTGGGCCCCTAATGATAAACAGACCTTGCACTTGGGAATGGAGCCTCTGCTAGAAATCAGGCACAAGCCCCAAGGGAAGAAAGGAAAGAGAATGACTGAGTGTAAATCAGCAAGCTTTATAGTCCCAGCAGATCTGATAACTCATACATTAATAATAATTTCGCTTATTCCTTTAATTTTTAAAAAGCCCTAGTAGATCCCAGAACTGCAATCTAGCTAGAATACATAAGATTCGGGAAAGGGAGTGGCCAGTTAAAAGCCTAAATTTTGCATCTGGCGTGAAATATTTTTTTCAGGCATTAGGGGTGTGTGTGTGTGGGGTGGGGGAAAGGGATTTCCATGGACGCCATCATAATGGAGAGGTGTGTCCTTTTCCTACAACGGCCCAGAAGAGGTCTGCATAATTCATCTTGCTGACTGAGACTGACAGAAGTTATAAATCAACAATAGGGCTGCCTCCACTTCTGTTTTAACTAAAGACTTGGGCAAAGATCTGACACAGCTTGGCAGCAGAGCTGGCCCAACCATTTTCCTGTTGGAGATGGAAGACAAGATCTTGTCCTTCTCCATTCCATGTACAAAAGTCAACCAGACTGGAGGGCTTTCAGGCAAGAAGCACAGAGCTGACTGCATGACACACACATATCTCTACCCTCCAATACTTTGCCACCATTTCCTATCCCCAGCACCCACCTTCTGAGTAGTTTGCTTTATCATACCTAATGGCATGTCTGGCCCTGCTTGGTTGGCAGGCTTAGACGGAGCAGAGAGAGTCATATTTTCAATGGACAAGGCAATGAGGAGCTCCTGCCCCAGGTAGCAGATTTGGAGGCACAATCAAAAAGCTGCCATGTGTTAATTACTCTATGTGGAACTTCATTTTTTCACTGGTACCCATCTCCTTTCTAAGCATCAGTATAGACTGCATGTGGATTTCAGAGCAACTGGTTACACTTAATCTGTTGAACCAGGACCCTAGTAAACCAGATACCTTGTATGTTGATTACAGTAGAAGGAAAAGGATGGTCTCTAGCATGAACCTTCCTGAAGACAGGTTGGCCTAACAAAATGATGGGCAAGAAAGGAAAGATCAGTGGGTTGGACTGGGATTTGGTGGCAAATGTAATACCTGGTGTGGTCAGATCGTGTTAAATGTGAGGAGTCAACTCAAAACAGTGAACAAAAACGTCTACTTCACACATGTAGTTTTAGAAGAGGCAGCCATGTTAGTCTGTGCTAGCATACATAACAGGCAAAAAGAGAACAAATATAAAAAAATAAAGAAGACAAAAACATTGTGGCACTTTAAAGACTAACTGCTATATTCTATATACTTCACACATCAGTGTTACTAATTCGGTGTGGCTAGGTAAGTAGACCGCCCTTCAGTATGCCATTGGACTCCAACTCCCATCAGCCCCAGACAACATGGCCAGTGGTCGGGGATGATGGGAATTGTTGCCTAGAAAAGATGGGTTTCTTTTACAGATTTCCCAATCTTCAGTATTGCTCCTCTTTTTACATTTACTGAGCCAGGAACAAGAAGCGAACTGAGCTGTGAAATGAGAACCTGCCTTTCAAGTGCTTTGGTGGATTACTTTGATATCCACCAAATTTCAAACCATGCTCTCCTCATGAAAATCTGTCTCCAGATGCAATTTTTAAGCTTCCTGCTCAGGCTAGAGAGAAGAAAAGATTACAAGGAGTATGAAATTGTATATTCTGATATAGTCTTTATAATTCCATCTTCTCTCCTATGCAGTTCTAATCTTGTTTGCGATTCCTTGGAACCCTGGCTCTGCTCTGAACACATCTCAAAGAAATGAAGAGGCTGATGAGAAACATATAAAACATAATGCATTGTTTTGTCCCTGCAATAAAGGGTTGTGTCAGACAACCTGGTCATCAGCTCTAACAGAAAAGCTACACAGCAGGAGGAGAATAAAAGATTATAGCGGAATCTCTTCAGCAGGTCTTTCAGCAACCAGTCTGAAAAGAGACAATGCAAAAGTCTCTTCGCTGGCCCATCTGCATGAGAAGGGTACTATCGGGCAAGGGGTGGGGAATTCAGCCTCCCTTAACAAAAACTTTAGGCATGCTGCTGTAAGAGGAAGGCTTTTAAAATTATAATGGGCAAGATGCTTAGCAAAGTCTTGTGGATGGTGTACGAGATATATAAAGTTAGAAATACGACAGAATGATGATGTTTCTCACAGCATACAATATATATTTACAGTTCCTAGTGTAACCAATTAAAATTAGGCATTAGGCAGCTATTCCAGCCCTTTCCCATTAATGGATTTTAATAAGGGGGAAAAAAAAGAAAGATACAATGGGAAGATGTGGGAGGATCAAAAAATGAAGAGGATATCATCCAGACCCTGTACAAAAAAGTTTCGAGTCCCAATTGACTCCCAGAGCTTGGAATACAGTAGTTACTTTTTCGGTCTATAAATCCCAGGCTTCCTTGGATGCTGTAGGATTCTAGGAGCTGTGGTCTAAAAAAGTAACTTCTCCAAGCTCCGTTCATGCCAAATGAGAGCCTAAGAAGATGCTTGCCATTTTGTATGACTGTTTGTGGAAAGGAGGTTTAGGAAAGGAGGGTAGAGGGGGCCTTTCTCCACAGAGGGATCTGGGGGCCCTAGGCCTCACGATTTTCACAGTGACATCAGGATTACGGTAAGTTCTGACACTCAGATGGGGAAGAGCTTCAATTAAGCAAGTTGGGATTTTCCCTAAGCCCATCCAGCTCTTTCACAAAAATTGAAAGCATTGTTCAGTCATCTCTCTGTTGTTGTTCCCTTAAGGAGTTCAGGACCCTTGCCCAATGCCTTTGCCTTACTGTTTGAGCTTCACAAGATAAAAGAAAAAACTATAGAAACAGCAACTACTGTATTTTTCCATGTATGTATAGGATGATATTCTTCTCTAAAATATTTAGATTAAAATTTAGGTAGTCTTATACACAGAAGTAAGGAGGGAGGAGGGATCAAAGTGCTTTGATTCCTGCTTTCCCTCTCCACTTTTTGTGAAGAAAGAAATTCTGGGTTAGAAAAGTGAGGGGGACATCTTATACATGGGGGTGTATTATACACGGAAAAATACGGTAACTGGTTTCAATTAGTTCAGATAACAATTGTTGACACTCAACTCTATAAAAAGTCAGGACCTAACAGACCATTAACAGAGCTAGAAAATAACTGTAGAGATAGGAATAATAAAAAGAAAAGTGGATAATGGGTTGGACTGCTGGTTATTCTAAGCGGCATTAGGTGGACACAAATATGCAATAATGAGCCAAGGAACAGACTATGTGAAAAGATAAAGAGATAATATAAACAGTCTGCATATTTGTGTGTGTGTGTGTGTGTGTTGTGTATGTGTGAAGATATAAGAGTTTATGAACAAAAATGTTATTATACGAAATAAGAGTTTATGAACAAAAATGTTATTATCGTAACAGTAGGTATTGTTCTGTTACGTTATTTTGAATGGTCTGAGATAAAGACTTGAAACTTTAAAAAGAGATAATAAAATATATTGTGTGGAAATTCAGATGAAAGAGGCTATTGGTCACTCAGCAGATTTGCATGTCTAAGCAAATTTGAAACCCCTCTATCTGCTGCATTCTGCTGTCTCATGAGGAATTGCTTCTTGTGTCTGAAAATTGGTAGCTGTGATGACATGTAGCTGTTCCATGAAGGGTGGTGATAATTAGGGAAAGGACAGAACTTGGAATAGTTTCTTTTTTATACCACAACTCCCAGAAACCTGTGGCCACTGGCTGGAATATTCCAGGAATTGTGGTCACAGAGTAACTGTTCCTAACTCTAGAGAAGATATTTGGGTGGAAACAGCTGCTCTGCTTATTGTTCTAGTAGTAACTGAGCAATGCAATACAATGCAAAAGATAGCTGTAGATAACTCAGCATAGAGTTCCTTGCAAGTGCACTGAAAAGTTCAGTCACAGGCAAGACAGAAGTCTGTATGCTTTCAGGTTATTAATCTGGGGACCAAGTTGCCAGCAGAGTTTCTTAAAGGGGCTGAGAGTATCTTAAGTCCATGTCAACCTCAGAGTTTTCTGAGCTGCCTCTGAACCATTTCCAGCAAACCTCTAGTTTATTATCATCATAATTATTCATAGTTTACTATTGGCTTGTTATCCTGAAACATGTGACGTTAGGTTTGTGAGAGCAAAACATCCCATCATCAAAATTTGTGGGCACACTGGTTACATCTTATGTGGTTTTAATACTAATCCCAATGCACAGAAAAGATCAAGATGTCTTACCATTCAAACACTTTTCTTCATTGCAAAAGGAAGAACAGAAAACCAAGATGTTAACAGCCCACAGTTACAACTTCTTCAAATATGTCTATGTGAGTCACATCATTGGTAAATGTTTCATATTACTGATCTCCAGTTTTGACTGATAAAAGGTGCATCTCAAGCTGTTTAGCACTACCTTTTCATCAGGGCTAGGGACTCAAGATGTGCAACCCAACTGTGCAATTCAAGACACGATGTTGCCCTCCCTAGTTTCAGATTTACTTTACAAATATTCTTAAAAATATTTCCTCCCCACACAATGATTTGGGTGGCTGGTTTTTACTGTCCAGATGGTTTTGCTCTTTTTAGAAGGATGTGGAGATTGCCTGAACTCATTCACATCTCTTCTGCTCTCCAAGATCTACTACAAATCCACAGCCAGCTGATCATCCTTCCTTCTGATCACCAAATTTGACTTTGTTCATTATATTATAAAAGGCAATGGTAATGTGTGGAAAGGCAAAATATACAAGCATAGACCTTTTTGATTCAAAACATTAAAAGGGAACAATTCCTTGAGAAATTTTTGTGCATGTCCAGATGCATGAGGAGTGGAGGATGAGAGAAACGAGAAGAGCATGAATGTACGCAGGGCCAATGCAACAGCACAGAGTAGTGCTCTTAGCAAATTGTGTTCAGTTTCCACCTTGCACGATGGGTAGAACTACTGTATTTTTCGCTCCATAAAACACACTCCCCCCCCACTTTGTGTGTGTCTTATGGAGCGAATACTGGCTTCCCACTGCTGCCATCGTCACCACGGTGCCCTTCTCCTCCCCTTCCAGGGCAGGGAGTGCTTCCAGATGATGAGCTGGCTGGGGCGGAGTTTTATTTTTAATTTTTTTAAATTAGGGGCGTCTTATCGTCAGATGCGTCTTATAGAGCGAAAAATACAGTAACTCATTGTCACAGAATGTGTAAGAAATGCTATAAGCTTGTCAGAACAGTTTCCCTTGAAAACTACTGTAAGCCTCACCCTACAGCCTTTAGACAGTGTTCGAGGTCCATGTCTCTCTGTGTTTATCTCTGAAAGATTAAACGTTAAATTCTCTTTTTAAAATCCAAAGGCTGGTTTAATTTAGCATCAATGGTTCACATAGCAGCCAAACACATTTATCAACAGAACATGAGGTCAATGGCATCCTTCCACAGCTGGTCCTGAGCACAATGCCTTCCAACCTGGAGACAGGAGACAGTCTTCTTCATCTCACAGAACAATGTATGATGCTGCTGATGCTTTATTGTTAAATGTCTTAAGGAATTAAAAATGACAGCAAAAAAAAAAAAGCAGCAAGAGAAGGGGTCTAATGTTTAATACTAGAAATACTTAATATATGAGCAAAAAGATAATTGAAATCCATACCTGTAATTGTGAAGTCACCTAAAGAAATGTCAAAAGAGAGAGAAAAGATAAATAAATTATTATCTATTTTTCCACACTGCATGCATCATACATCATTCAGACTTACCCCCTAAAGCTGAATTGCAGACTTCTTTACAAGAACAAACACCCACCCGGGACAGGAAAAATACTAAAAAGTCTGTTTGTGTGTCTATGTTTGTGGGAGAAGTCAATTTATCAAGAAGAAGCACTAAAATATTTTAAATGCCCTTGTATGAAACAATTTAATAAAAACTAGAAAGTATAAAATCAAGAAACCAGACTTGATGGAACTGTTTATACTGTAATGCTATATATACCTGGGAATAAATTCTGGTGGATCAATAGGATTTTTTTGAGTAGGCAGGGGCTGAAAGTTTATTCAGCAATGGCAGAGCAAAAAGTCTGACTGGCATAGTTACCCGGGGCTGCCTGTTGCTGCTGTTGTGCTAGTGGTGATCAACACTGTAAAACGTGACTTCTAATTGTGTAACAAGGCCTCAAATGCTTTCATGCAAAAGGGGCAAAAGTGTCAAATCACCTGCACTACACTGCATTGTGGGTTGGACACCACATGATCACTGCCATGGATAAACTTAATTCCTTGTTCAGTTAGGAGCAGAATCTGGAGCTGTACTCATGTTTCCTCCTTCTTTTCTTGTAACATGGAATTTCAAAATGAGTGACATGACTTCCCTGGCTTGTAATATTCCTCACTCTATTTCACCGGTTGTTGCTTGTGCGGGAAGAAAAGACCACAATACGATGCCATTGCATCATATGTGTCATTTTACCAGTGTGCCTGGACAGAATGGATGAAAAGACTCAGGCTTCATATTCTAGTGACTGCCATGCATTCAAGCCTAGGAATTTTCTGAAAACACTAGGGGAACTCTGAAACAATATATTGTAGTTGGAAAAATCTTCCTTTGTTTTAAATTCTTTATTGTTTTGAAAGCTCACAGAGAAGTCATAATATAGAGGGCAAAAGCCCTCTCTCTATAGATTTGAAAAGCCCCCAGTTTCAAATCTTAGAATTTCCCATTAAAAGGCTATCAAGTGATAGAGTTGGAGAAGACATTAGCTCAAGACCTTGGGGAAAATCAAGTTTGCCCAGTAGTCTTAAAGCAAATAAGGGAACTCTCTGTTTCATTCTTTTAACACCCACTTTTAACTCCTGAACATGTTCCCTCATTTCATCTTCACTTGTACTCTGGTGCCTAGAAACAGGCGGAAGTATTTTGTAGATGGCATGTTATATGTGACATAGTCTATTTTCTTTAAAGCAGTATGCCATATTTCCTAGATTCTTTCATATGCTGTTGTCATGGTATCAGCTTGACTGAATGAAATAACTCCTTCTGGGAGCAGTGTGTATATGTAAGATGCACTTTTGTTCTGTTCTGTTACAAGCATGAATAAGCGATCTGAGTCAAAGGCACCACAAAATGGGCCAAAGAGGTACCAACCTGACTGCGGGGCAGCCAGCATAACTGCGTAAGGTTATACACGGTTAAGATAAAAATCCCTGAGAATCAGTTTTAAGATCTAATCCTATTGAATTTGGGATTATTTATTGAATGCCCCAACAACAGAGCATAGACAAGTTACCTTTTTTGGGACCATAATTCCAAGCATCCTCTAGCCAACATGACTAACTGGCCGTGTTGTCTGAGGGATTCTGGAAGTTGTAGTCAAACAAGTAACTTTTCCAAACTCTGCCATTAAGCTGTTCATAAAAGGTGAAACAATGAATTGGAGGAGGTCTTCTGTATAAATTGAACTGCCTCCTGGGCAGAGCGCCTTTGTCCGTGTGGAATGGAGCAGATAGAAACAACTGAACATGTCTTGTTGTGGTGTACATATTATAAGGATGTACATGAAGAATTTGTTTCCCGTTTGACTGGCCGATTTCTCGACTGTACAGAGCAACAATGTATGCATGTGCTGTTGTCTGATTCCAATCCTATGTTCATTCCAATCCTATGTTCACACGTAGTGTTGCCAAATTCTTTACTGCTTCTATGGGCATTGCTTCAGGGGAGATGTACTGACACTGTTGTTGTTTACCTTAGAACTAACTACAGTATTGCTTTGCATTCAATCCCAATATTTTTGTATATTTCTGTATATTTATATATTTTAAATGTTTTCTTGGTGGCTGGTCTTTTGACCTAATAAAGTTTTAACTTATCTAGAAATTGAACTGGAATGTGTAAGACTTCTTTAACAGCTGTTGTAAAACTCAGTGAAACACAAGAGTGAACTACGTGTTATAGTAGTGTGTGTAACAGCATCTCAGTATTTTTTTAAAAAAAACATAAAGCTACTTCAGGAAGAGTATTCAGAATGCAACAGTGTTAAAAGAAGGAATACTTCATCTACTTCTTGCTTATAATTTTTCTATATTACTTTCCCCAATAGGAATCCAGCTGAGTGGTTTTCTTGCAAATAACTTGGAATGTTTCACATTTATCAAAACAAGTTATTGTCTGGTCCCCCAAAAAGTAATGGTTTCCATTTGAAATAAATATTTATGTGATGGGGTCTAATTTCTCTTCTTAACAGATCCAGAAATGACTAGTGATTAACTGGCATATAAAATTCAGGTAATTTTACCCCAATGAAAAGAAATCTAAAGGGAATGCATTATATCATGTTATAGGGCACTGGGATGAATAACAAGGAGATCTGTACTTTTTATCAATTTATCAGGTCGGGTAAAATTTGAATCTTGGCTTGATTCGTCTGTAGTCTTGATTAGCTTCTGCCAAAAATCTATATAGATTAGTTTCAACCATAATTGAAGCTAATGGAATAAAGACGCTTTTTAATTTTCCATCAGATCTTTAATATTTTTATTTCATTCTACAGATACATCAAATCTAAGAGACCCCTGGAGATGTTGAGAATGAATTTAACTCAAAGATAAAAGAAAAGAAAATAAGATCAGCTACTTTCATCTAGTTAATCTGTATTAATAATCTTCTCAGAAAGAACCATTTAAGTTCGAAAAGAGATACAAAAAGACAAAGCACTCAACTCACATCAAATATGGTCAAAACAATGGAAAAGAAATACAAGAAATATGCTGCTTACCAAGCTCATTCAACAACAGGGCTGTGAAGAAGACACAGAGGCACAAACATAGAAGAAGAAAAGACAATGAGAAATGAAATTAAAGAGAACATCCACAGAAAAGCTTCAGATCCAGGAGGCCAGAGAATGTAGATCTGTAAATATGAAGGACCGCCACCACTACAAAGAAAAAGAGCATGACAAATAATGGGAAAGAACCACTTTTGGTAAGAATGGCTGTGGAACTGTGGAGAAACATTAAATGCATATAATATGTACTTATACATATTATATATAATACACAATAGATATATATGAATAAATGTTGTGTGGGTGACAAATCTTTAAAAAGCCATCTCATGCTCCCACTTTTAAGGGCATACACCTCTTGGATCCATGCGGTGATGTTAATTTTGTCAGTTCTGCCAGTGATTGAGGAAATAATATGTTCTGTCAGATTAACTGATTTCTTTTCTTTTTTTTTAATGTTCACACTCTTCCGTGGTCTAATTTTATAACATGGGAAATATATTTCTATTTGTGCCATGTTGGTCTTAAATCTGAACATTTTAAGGGCTAATATTAAATGAAGAAACCATGCAGTTTTCTCCTTGGGATGATGAGCAAGGAATTACTTCAGTTCTGAGAACCTGCAAAGACACCAGTGTAAAAAGATGTAGTGGACAAAAATCAGGAGAGTCCCAATGTAGCCATTCAAGGTTCCATAACAGGTACCTCTGATGTATTATAAACAGTCACAACTATTAATTAAACTATCACTGATTTAATGCTGATGGCTTCATGTTTCTTCCTATAGAAACTTGGAGACTTTGTGAAAAGGCTTGCAATCTTTGCAAGCGATTCTCTGATACTAATGAGGAATTCAGCTTCAGCATCACTCTTAATTGCACAAATTCAGTCCCCGAGTTTTCCAGAGGACAGGCAAAGTGTTTACAACATTTTAAAATAAGTTTAGCATGTGCAGCAAGAGTATACGATAAAAACAAGTCCAAGCATTTTGACTTTTGGCTTCTCTCATTCCAGTTTTACAGATACCTACTTGTGAAAACAAGGTATGTGGCTACTTTGCTGCTGGAGACAGACTGTAATCTTTCAGACAGCTGCGAATAGTTTGAGCTTTTCCCATTCTTTGTTTATTTCTTATAGCCCACACCAGAGCTTCCCACCTGGTGCCTCCAAATCTGTTGGACTACAAGAAGGATGGGCCCCTTCCAGATGTCCAGGGGATGCACTCATCTTTGTGAAAACTTGATTTTTTTTCTCTTTTTTAAAAACTTAAAACAGCCCCTTGTGCTCTTCCACAGCTTTTTTTTTAAAAAATAAATTTTAGGCCAATGTGGTTGGTGCCAGGGTTCTGAGCTTCTCTTGGAAAGAGGAATAATTTCTCCCACAATACCTGAAGAACACAAGGGATCTTTTTGAAGCAATTTAAAAAGATTTAGACATCCATTTTCCTGAGCCAGCATCCTGGGCACACTTGAGAACGTTGGTGTCCACAGATTTTACTTTTGTTCTAGTGTCTGCCTTGGTTAAATAGGTTTGGTAGTTATATGAAATAATTTTGAAAAAAAATCTCTGCAAAGCCTATCTGACCAGAAGTGAAATGTGTGCACATACTCTTTAACCAATAATCTGTTTCTTGGCTCTCTGAACATAAGCAAGCTTCTCTCATTTATGGCTTTTCCAACACAGTGCTTTGCATCTGAATGAAGGAGAAGGCATCGTTCCCCAGCCCATGCACTGTGCCAGGCCACAGTGACACTTGTGTGAAACAACATAGATGTATCTTTTTTCACAAGTGTGGATCTGTGTCTGTAACATCAGAAGCACCTTTAAGAGGCTAGGAGCTTTCAAAGGTTGAAGGCTGGACTAGGTGAGCTGCCCATAACCTTCCAGTTCTGTGATACTGAGTTCAGTCAAAGCCTCAGGTGTTGTACTGCATAGATAGACCGAAGGGAGGGTTTAGACTTCTGTCCTAGTTCAGGTGTGTAGCAAAGATGCATCACAGATAAATACAGAGATCTTGCAACTTTATGGAGTGACCTAAAAAGTTCCATTCCTCAGTCTGAGATCCATGGCTATCCAGCAAGCCTGCTGAATTTTCAGCATTGTCACTCCCTTTTAACTTATAAATGTTAAATTGCTATAATTGCAAATCCAACTTGTTTTATTTTGGGATGCATACTCAGTTTACGGCTTTAATATGCTCTAATACCATCTGTCCTTGATGAAAACAGGAAAATTCCACTTAACATTTTTTTCATTTAGAATTTAGATTGTTTTTTCCTTCTCAAAAGAACAATAAACATTCTTTTGCCATAACCTGGCTCACTCAGGTGAAATGCATTTACTCTGTGATCCTGACACAATTAAATATATTTCTCTGGATGAATGTCATTAGAACTTCTTTGCTTAAAGTTCAGTGTGCACAAATACTGTGCATATTCTTGGGCCCTTTATATGTTAGGCAGACATGCATTTATTTCTTTGCATACACAGGCTGGAGGAGATGGCAACCACAAATTGATATGCGAACCCATCATCTCGGCCTCCCCTCCACTTTTCTCTATTTCATTTAAGCTTGATCCAGTCTCCTTGCAGAATATTTTCAAAGGATCATGCAAGTGATGGTGTGTGATAACGAAGCATCAGGGCTGGGAGACCTTCTGGGTGGTGATGACTTACTCTTCCCAGTTTTCTGTATCATTGCGCTACTCTGCATATTATAGCAGCTTCCATTCAGAGCTGAGAACTGGAGGAAAAGAAAATCAGCCGGTGCAGATTTATCTTAAAAAGCAGAGCTTAGAAAAGTTGTATTTTAGAATACAACACCTAGACTCTTTCACAGCAGTACATGCAGTGGCCATGTTAGCTGGGCGGGATTCTAGAAATGGTAGTCCTAGAAATAATATTTGCAAGCTTTGTTAAGAAGGCACAAGATTATGCTAGAGAACAGAATCCTATGCAACTGTTACCTTCTAGTTTACTCGACACACAAAGACTTGGGTTCTTGCTCATGCAAAGGACTTCCACCTAAATCCTTCCACACAAAAGACTCACTGGTCTTTATGTGAAGGAAGTGATGACAGAGAGGGTAGGAACAGTCCTTCCCTCCTTATGTTTGAGTGAACACTACGGTCTGACTCATATACTGTACCTCAATAGGCTTTTTTAAAAATGTGCATGTTATGAACACTAGACACCGTGTCTAAGTTGCACTGGCCATGTGACCACGGAAGATTGTCTTCAGACAAACGCTGGCTCTATGGCTTGAAGAGCGGGATGAGCGCCGCCCCCTAGAGTCGGACACGACTGGACAAAAAATTGTCAAGGGGAACCTTTACCTTTAACCCTATATTGTGCATACTGTGGAAAATTAAATTGGCAACTAGATCACACTTCCTGGTTCCACCAAGAACCCTGGATGGTTTTAAAGGGGGGGGGGGTCACTGAGGTAATCTGTGGATTTTGTCATGGGCCCAGTGGTTGGCACAAAGAAGCATGTACGAAGGCCAGCCCCATAGTGGACAATCCTACCCATTTGTCCTAGACAGTTCAGTGCATCCTTTCGCCCTAGACCTTTCCTAAGAATCTAAAAAGTGCAATGCTGTATAAATCTAAAAGACTATCTAGTCAAGCATTCCCTTTCTATAGTAGTCTCTGTTGGTGGGAAGACCACCATCAAAATGTGTGAGAGATGACGCTCTCACACTCTGGTAAAGGTAAAGGTTCCCCTTGAAAATTTTGGTCCAGTCGTGTTCGACTCTAGGGGGCGGTGCTCATCCCCGTTTCCAAGCCATAGAGCCAGCGTTTTATCCGAAGACAATTTTCCGTGGTCACATGGCCAGTGCGACTTAGACACGGAACGCTGTTACCTTCCCACCGAGGTGGTCCCTATTTATCTACTTGCATTTGCATGCTTTCGAACCGCTAGGTTGGTGGGAGCTGGGACAAGCGACGGGCGCTCACTCCGTTGCGTGGATTCGATCTTACGACTGCTTGGTCTTCTGACCCTGCAGCACAGGCTTCTGCGGTTTATCCCACAGCGCCACCACATCCCTGGTACTCAGAGGTAATTACTGGAAGTACTATACAGCTGATGTGATTCAAAGCAGTTGACATAACAACCTACCTCTTGAGGATGGCATTTTTCTGTTAACACAAAAAAGGAGGGGGGGGAACTCTTTTATTTTTCATTTTTTATATTCTTGTGTGGATTCTCAGAGGAAAGTCTCTTATGTTTATTATTAAGAAGGTTCATTGTTTTTGTGTTTCTCTCTTTTGTTTCTTTCACCTCATCTGTCAGATCACTTGAGAAAAAAATTCATAGCTTCCACATGGGCTGCTGCCAGCAACCAATCAGAATGTGAGGGAGTGGGAATTTTGAAGCTGTAAAAAGGCCAAGGATTCGTTGGTAACGAGTGGGGATGTTCTTTCTTTGTTTCACTCATTCCTCATGATATGCAAGATTCTGATACCCTTTGTCATGAGCTCCCTGTGCCTCACTCCATCTTGGATTTTTACCCCTAGCCTCCTTGCGATTCTTTTTGTTTTTATTTCAATGTGCCCTGCACACTGGTTTTCTGCACTTTTCCCCCCTTTACCGACGTTTTCCCTTCTTGTTCTTTTTTGCTGTCTGTGTGCTGATGCACTGGCCTCAAAGAAAAGAAGAGGAAGGCATCAGGTGGTGTTGTGAGAGGCATCTCCTCATATTCTAATTGATTTGGTTTGGGAGACTTTGACTGGATTCCCCCCCCCCCTTTCATTTGCTTGCTTTTATGAGTTTTTGGGAGAAGGGCCTGTGTGTATTTTATTTTGCTTTTCTCCCTTTTTTAGGTGTGTAATGGGGGTGCTTTTGCTGACTGATATTTAAACATGCTATTTTGTTAATTTTCTGTGTATTTTATTTATTCTATTAAAGCTTTATATTTTGATCAGATTATTTTAGACTCTTTGGTTCGGTGATGGTTGTTATTGGCACTATTGCTTACCTTTGGGATAGATTGATTCTCTGTTGTCTT